ATTTATTGTGATCATAGTTGGTTACCTGTTTTTGGTTCCGGTAATGGTAAGGGAGACGTTGATATTGCTTTATATGGTGTTGGTACTATTGCTAGCACTCCTGGGACTTATAACAACATCAATATAGAAAATGGTAGTAGATTTGATGAATTGGAGGTTTTTCAAATAATTGATAAAGATTAAATATATCTACATATTTTCTAAATTAAATAATGATTGATTAATTTCTGATAGGATTCTTTATTCTTTTAACTGTAAACCTTTGTTTTGGGGGTTATTCATTTTGCAAATTTTTTAATAAATTCAACTTTATTATCTGAACTCATAAATGATGAATATATATAAGAATTTTATGCTCATTTGAGAAAAATGTCTAAAAAAAAATACAAATAAATTATTCATACTATAAATACTTTTGTTTGAATTGTTGGCAGAAATTACAAAATTCAAGTTTTTTATTTTATTTTTGACTTTCGAATCTCTGTTTCCTACACATAAAAATTTTTAGAGGATACCCTAATCCTTTTGTTTTTTTATTATTATACGATATTCTGCGGGATTTACTTCGACTCGGTCACAGTTTCTAAAAAACCAAACTAAATAATTCAGAGCTTTAGGTTAGAGGTTACTCGGCATCCCTTGCTGTTCTAATTTTTGCATTCTGCTTATTTAGAATTTAAATTTATAAATTTCCAATCTAATAACAACCAGTGTCCTAGTTGGACAAGTTTTTTTCTGGAGGCACAAACTCAATTACTAAAAGGTGTCGAGTTTAGAACATGAAACAATATGAGCTTGCATGTGTTTAAAAGTTGGTGGAGATGATGAACTTGTTGTGAGTTTTTTATATGAATTGAAAAAAATATATCACAATTAGGATTTCCATTTGAATAATAATAAGTTTTATTCAAATTATTTGTTTTTTTCGTTATGAATTTGAGTGTTTGAATTACATTGAAAGTCTATTCGAATAAAGCGTGTAAAACTTAAATAAAACAAATGAAATGAATGAAACTTGAATAAACGAATAATTTTAATAAAAAATAAAGATTCGAATAAACGAACAAAAAGAATAATTCGAACTTAAAACGAATAATTCGAGCAACAAATCATTCAAATATGAGCTCAATTCAATAATAATGGAGTTTTTTAATTCTCCACAAATATCTTTGCAAACATTGTGAAATTTTATACAGTCAAACCTCATTTCAACTAATTATTCGCGTTATTATGCATTTTAAAAAAATAAAATTCGTTGAAACGTGATTATATAGTAATAGTGATGGTATAACGAATTTTAAATGCAATATTCTTATGTTTGACTGTATGCATATATTCCAGAACCTAAAAATCATTTTTCATTAGAAGCATAGATATTGTTAAGTATAGAAATATTCTCATTTTGTCATAAGATTATTGATGGTGATATCAATATGCTAGATCTTTACTTAACATGGGTAAAAAATTTTCTCCAAAAAATTATCAAAAGCAAAAGCAACTAAACCTCATTCACAAACTTCTATTCATGTAACTTTTTACAATATACAGTATATACTTTACTATTTAGGAAAAAGTGTTTTCCGATGCAAATTGGCAATATAATGTAAATCAAAAGTCTATTATTAAAAAATAATTTATTATTATTATTATATTTCTAAAATCTGAAAAACGGGGGGTTTTTTTAATTTAATACCAATATTAAAAAGAATTTTTAATTTGAAATATAGTTTTTAAAAAAAATTAGTGAACAATTTGAACGTGATCTCTTAAATTTTAATAGTCGGACGATTATTAAACAATTTTCGCGCCTCTAAGTAAAAACAATCACGCACCTTTGCTTTTTAAATCGCAAGCTTTATATGTTGGTAGCTCTTCCGATTATGGAGTAATAGCCTTCCAAAGAAACCTAAAGTTTTGACTTCGGAAGCTTAATTCTTTTCGGAAAACAGCTCTATTAAAATCGTTTTAGTATGATAAAACAAAGTACATTGAGAGCTTTCAGAAAATATATGGTTCGGATGGTTTTCTTGGGGAAGGAAGAAATTAAAAGCAAAAAATGGTTTTATTATTAAAGAACTTTTTGACAAAATTTTTTTTGCATTATTGTTTTCCAACTTTTGTTATATTAATATGAAAATGCACTCTTTAATTAAGGTTCTACTCAAAAGTTTACAAAGAAAAATATTTTAGTATATTGGATTTAATATTATTAATTATTATCAATTTAATAGATTAATAATCAATTTTATTATTATAGATGATAATAATCTTTAAATTTAAAGCTTTACTTATTATTATTTATTTTTATTGTATAGATTAATAAAAATAAGAAACAATAATAAAAAAGAAAATTAATGCTAGGTATAAAAAATTATATTAAATGAATTTAAATGAATATATTCAACATTAGATTATATATTAATTAATATTAAATTGATTATTCGTTTACATATTAAAAAATAATTAGATATAAAAAAATTGATTCAAATGATTATATGACCAAACAATGTACCATTAAAGAAGGAGGAAAAGGTTTGTGATGTTAACATCATAATTTATTTATTTTTTCTTTTCACATTATCATACCAGTAATTTCTAACTTTACTGTGTGTCCATGAATTATGTAATTTAATTAGATCTTCAGATAACCTTTTTGCTACATCTCTTGGTAAATCTTCAGTGTGATTGAATACCTCTTTAAGGATTTCAAGTTCCTCATTTGTTTTTTTACGTTCTTATTTATTTGTGAAGAAGATCCTGCATCCTCCTGTATTATCTCATCAACTTGTACAGCTGTTGTTTCTTCAGGTAAATTTTCCCTAACCACTTCCATTTCTTCATCTTGATTTTTTTTAAGTAATTTAAGATGTTCTTTGACTTTTACAATACCAAGGTTTTTACTTCTCCTGCCAACAGTGGAATATGGTATTGATTTCTAAACTTCTTGTTTTAAGAGATTATCAAGGCGATTTAATCCCTTTTCATAACATGTAAACATGTTATTAAAGCCATTTTCATTCATTTCTTTTGCATCTTTAAAAAAATCATGATCTGTAGGATCTTCCAGATCAAAGGCTTTGATTAATTCATCAACAACTGACCACATAACATCCCTTTGACTCTTTTTTGGACACTCCTCATTTTTTTAATGGTGCTTTCTCCAACAAATTCCAAGACAAGTAGCTCCAAACACTCATGCTCTGTTTGGACTGATGGAGTTTGTAGCATAAGGTTATCAATATTTGTAGGATCTCCAGTAATATTTTGTTTTGTGAATTTTGACACCATAATATTCAAGTGCTTCATCAAAACTGAAGTAATGTCCTTCTCTTGTTAGATTTATTGAACATGCACTTTTCAACAATTCTCTCTGTCCAAGATTTCTTTGGGCTGATTCTAGGAAAAACATAACTGATTGAACATGAGCATAGTTAGGTTTTCCAACAATTGGAAATAGTGGTGAGAATGCAGCCAAGTTACACATCTGCATATCAAAAATCCCCATCTGCATCCCTAACTGGTGGCCTTTCCAAACCAAACAGTTACATTATTTTTATTCTGTCCACCAGCATTATCACAAGTAATCTTTAAATGTTTTTCACCTTTATTCAATTTCTTAATTCCATCAAAGATCAAACTAAGAGTTCCATTAGGTCCTTTTCCTATAGTTTCATTTTCATTAAGAACATAATTAATTTGTTCCCTTACTGCTTCATCTTGAATACCAAATAAATGAACTTTACATGGACTAAGGTAATAAATTTTACTTACTTGTTGATCTAAATGAGGCACATGAACATTTTGGGCTCAATCATAACTATAATGAGCAGTGGCATCAATACTGCAATATTGAGTTTTATCCTTTGAATATTTTTGGTTAACCAGTTTTCTTTGTTCTTCTGCTAATTTAGTATTTTTATTATAATAGTTTCTTTCTAATTTGGCTTTAGACAGATGTTCTTTAAATCTTTTAAGTAAATCTTTAGCTTCATCCTCTTGACGAGCATTATAATGTAAACCATCTCTAAAATGCTGACAATTATCACACAAGTCAGTCCTTGGACTCATAATTTGAATCTCTGGTGTCAATTGATGTCATAACTTTCTGAAAGCATCATATTTTAAGGATTTCAAATTACTATCTTCTTCTAGACCAGCCAGAAAATCTCTGTGCACAGATTTATAACTCATTTCAGCTGGTAAGAATACAATTGATTGAGTTATTCTATTGATACTTCTGCCTGGACTTGGTAATCCATGAACTTCTGCATAATTTTCTAGAAAATTCTTTACTATTTCTGCAACATCTTTGTCAATCACCATTTTAGTTTTCCATTGAGGCATCCTTTTAATATTACCATGAACTCTTGCTAGAAGACCATTTTTTATCAGATGACTACTAATATTTTCAAAGTAAGTTCTACCAATTCCTAACATATTAAAATAAGTTTCTTGACAAAGGGGTGTATTATGATCCCAATGGTAGAAAGTTTTTTTGTTAGACCTAGTTTTCTTTTTAAGGCGTCTGCTAGTGCTTATTGATCCACCATCCATTGCCTTAAGTTGAGCCATTAAAAATATGTCTTGTTCGGACTTGGAAAGTGCTTGAAAGGATTCTCTTAATTCTGCAAAATTTTCCTTGGGAATTCTTAAAGAGCAACCACAATCACAACCCTTTTTCAAAAAATCAATAGCTTTTTCATATTCATTAGAACCATTATACTTATTATTACTTTTCATATACACTTATCCCTATATATATATAATTTTATAATGTTATGTTTGCTTTGTAGGTTTTTGAAAATTTTAAATTTTATCAAAATTATAGCATTTTAAAATAATGAACCACCAACACTCATGCCTTTTTATATTATTACTATTATTTTTTTTTTTATTCTAGTTTGTTAAGACTTACAAATTACATGATGGAAATTTAGCACATACAGAAAAAAAAAATGAATTAAAATAGAAATCTAGTGCTAACTCTAGAATAAAATATTTTAAGAAATCATCATATTTACATCCAATGGAATTTTAAGAGAATATTGCTTGATAGAATGTATAATTGGTGGTGTTCTTTCTGCATTTTTTCCTGGTTTTGTTTGGAACTTCTGCTTATTAAATGTTAAATAAATTTCATCTGGAACAACAAAATATAGTTCTGTCTCATTTTCTTCATTCTGAAGTTCATTGAGATGTTTAATTACTTCATTAACCCATTTTGTTTAATGGGATGTGAATTTGAAACTGTCATTTGAAAAAGTAAGTGATTTGAAGATCTAGTTCCTGGAATAAATGCATCAATTTATTCAAATGAGTGTATGGATGGATAACAATAAAAACCTTGATGTTTTGCTGTTATTTCTTCAAGTTTTGAAAACTTAAAAGTTCCTTTAACAGTCAAATTTAATTCATTAATTAAAGAAGCTGATGTTCCATTATTAGATTTAAGTTTTTTCTTTTGTGTATCTCCTTCTCTTAACTCTTCTTCTGACTCTAATAATTTTATTTCATACTTTCCACCAGCTTTTAGCATTTTATGTGCAAAATCTTCAAGCAAATTACCACAGATACCACCTGTAATTGATTCATCTTCACATGCTTTTAAAAAATTACGTAATGAAAATTGTTGTTCATTTAAAAATCTTTGATATATTTTTTCTCTGATGATAGAAGAGGCAAATTGAACTTTGTGTCGTTGAAAAGTTTGAGGATCTACTACAATGTGTACTATCACATGAGAAGTATCATGAGGAGCATCAACCTCACCAACAGATTTTATTATCTTACCAAGGTCACAGGTTTTAATAGCCAAATCTATCTCTTGATAAGCTTCTTCTTTTTTCCATTCAAAAATATAATGAGCTATACCTCCACATAATTCATATAATTCTTTTGCATCATCTATAGACCTAGAAGTATATAACAGATTACAAGCATCTTCTACTTCATCTATTGTCCATGTAGGCATGTAATAGGATTCCCACCTCTGCAGTTTTTTTACAACCTTTAATCTTTTTTTTTTGAGGTGAAGTAAGGACTATTTTTACTGCAGGATAATTTGAAGGTATCATATCATCAACCATGTGTAATGTTGATTCCAGATTTAATACTCTACTAAATTCATCCAGTGTTTTCCCCTCAAAAACTTTATGTTCTTTTGATGAAAAATAAAAAACTCTTCCTGGATAGTTGAAATGTTGATAAATTATTTCTTTTTTTAATTTTGCAAATTGATAAAGTAAGTGAAGACCAAAATATGACTTTCCTATTCCTGGATTACCAGTTATGAAAAATAATGAAGCATTTTCGTTTTTATTTCCATCTTGAATTTCATTTTGGATTTTTTCATAAATCTTATTGTAACACTTTCTAATAGGGTAGGATTGTTTTTTCCAAAATAAAAAGGAAATGCCATTTGGAAGTGAAAAAATGTTGTCTTGCACCAAACTGTTCAAATCAAGTAATGTTTTCCAAAAAAGTAGGGCATTTTCATCAGCTTTTAATTCATGATAGTTATTTCAAAAGAATCCCAAAAATTTTAAATCAATTAATAAGCAAATTTAGCAGTATAAAAAATATATAAAAACAATAAAGATGCTTACCCTCATTAACTAGATGATGAGAGAATAATTTTAAAAATTGATAGATGGTAAGAAAAAAGAAATTAGAATAAAGTATTGAAAAAAAAGCAGGTTAGTTAAAGCTGAAACAATATACAAATAAATAAGTAAAATGAAATGGACAAAAAATAATTTTTTTTTATGCAGTTTGTTCATTACCTTTTCCTCCATATAATAGTTCTTGATATAATACCTTCCAATTCTTCTTTATCTCCTCCAATCTCTTCTCCCCTTCCTTTAATTCTTCCTTCTCTCCTTCATAATCCTCCTTCTCTCTTCCCCTCTTCAGGTCATCCAGTCTTCCTCCCCATTTTTCCTTCCACTGATTTAACTCCTTCTCCGCCTTCACCAATCTATCTCTAACTTGTCTATTAGCCATTTTTTTTAATGTGAGAAACCATATATAGATAATTATGTGTGGCGTTTTATATCACGATTTGACGATCATCTGTGATGTGATGAATTTTAATTTATGTTGTGCGATGTAAATTTCATAATTGTTTAAAGTATAATAATAATATATACTCGGATGCTCTGTTATAGGTATCACGATTTATTAAACAGCCATTTTAAAAAAATGGATATAAATATATATAGAAGTATGGTAAAAACTGTTCTACAAATAAAAGGCTGCTCTATAAATAATAACGTTTACTAATTGAATCTTCTTTTCAATCTTGTTTCAACTTTAAGATCAAATAGACGAGTTTGATGAGAAGAGAAAAATTACAACTTTCATAGAGAATAAATTATTAAGGTTGGTTTATTTTTATTATTATTATAAGAAAAGCATACGTATACCTTGCTTCTTTACAAAAGAAAACATAGGAACGTGAGCAGTAGGAAAAGATACACACCTATTGGTCATATTTGATGATATTAGGGCCACACTCTATAAAAATGCGTAAAAAGTACAAATTACATACAGATCGTATAACATTAATTCTTCCGGGACTTTCTCATTACATTAATACATATTAATATGTATGAATATTTATGCTGGCTTTTATTTAAGCATTTTATTATTTCATGGGATTCTGATTAAAGAATAGTTTCCCGCTTACTATATACAATGCATAATTCACATGCACAAAGATAAAATTAAGGGAAGAGAAAATGTTTACGTGTGAGAAAGTATTCTTTGATATAAAACTTTATTATTATGTATCAAAAAAGAAAAATACATATAATAAACTCTAATGCAAAACGATTATTTTTTATTCTACGAAAGAATCTGCATAATCAGAATTTTCTAAAATTTTGAATAAAACTTCATCGATTATTTCCATCTAAGACATTCCCGACCGTCCGTAATCACAACTTGAGAAATCACCATAACCTATTATTTTTATTACCATCAATTAAATTCACCCTCCCAAAAATTAATCAGCAACAATTCCATTATTGGAAAAACCTTTTTCACTTCCTTCAATTTCTTGCTTTACTTCACATTATTTCATTTCTTCTCTTTGTTCTATATCTTGCATCATATTCATTTCTTGCATCGTTTCAAGATTGTTTGTTTGATGAATCAGATTCGCATTAAATGAATTTATAATCATCATATTAATGTATTTTAAATACAGTAAATATTTATAGTATACTTTAA